CAAATAAATCTTAGGAATAAAGATGTTCTCTGCTATCTTCAGTAAAATCTATTACACTCACATGAGCTCTCTGGAGGGTCTTGTACTGATATTTTTCAATGGGCTTATAAGAGGTGCTATATGCCGCTCTATGTCTCATGTAATGACTGTCCAAAAGGTGGGATGTCACCCTCCCCAGGACTGTAAAGTCATACTGGAAGGAATTGGTCAATGAGATAGTATGATATCAGCCAGCCATAGATACCACCCAAATGTCATAGGATATAATGAAAAGTATTCCTTAATCTGCTTTCCACCTTGGGGAGCTGTGTAATTTCAGACAGTCTGCTTGAATTAGATAAATGAGTTTTTATTCCCATAAATCATCTTAGCGAAGTGAAGAAGGCAGTCATGTAAAAGGTAACAAAAAAGAGCTTTGAGAGTGGATTCCTTGGGCAGGGAATAGAAGTCCATGCCATGTAATCTTGGAGAGTTCTATATTCACTACTACATCTCATGTGTCAAGAGAGAGTGTCCTAGAGGCTGACTTCCTTGTATAAGATTGACTTTGAGACAAATACTGGAAGATGGGGCTTCCCTGGTGGTGCAGTATTAAAGAATCCACCTGCTAATGCAGGATATGCAAGAGACACAGATTTGATCCCTGAGTCAGAAAGATCTCCTAGAGTGGGAAATGGCAACCCACTCCAGTATTCTTGCCTGGAAAATTCCATGGACATTGGCGGGCTTCGGTCCATGGGGTTGCAAAGAGTTGGATACGACTGAGCTACTGAATACACACTCAGGAACTGTTTTCCAGAAAGTGAGAGCAGTGTCAATGAAGTGTCCTCTGCGGGAGGAATGGCCATGATTCTGAGGCTGTAACCCAGAGAGTGCTTGTGGTCACCATTGGTGATACAGCACCAGCCTAAGTCTCACTTCAGAAAAGGGTGAAAGAGGGGAAAGAGGCACTATGTCTTGAACATGAGGGGAGAAGAGGTAAAATATAGACATGCAGGGCCTCTCAGAAAGGCACATGAGGAAAACCAGATTTTCATGAATCTCTGTGTAGTTCTAGTATGCCTGTGTCCAGGAGGTCTTACCAGTAGCTCTGCCACACCCTAAGTATTCATCCTACAAGCTAAAAATCCCTGATATTCCAGATTTCAAGTTCTCTGTTCCTATTGCAAAAACAAAGAGAGCGTGTGCTCTTCCTCTACTCTTCATTCTAGCTTGTGAACAAAGTGGTATATTTAACCAGCCAACCCACCAAACCATTTTCATTGCATACATTTTGTGTAATTCTGAAAGTTTAATCTTTTATTTTGTCTATATATATGCCTAGCAATATTCAAGGTGGTTTTCATTTTGCTTTGTTTTTACTGTTTTGACACTATGGGCTACTCTCTCCAATTCTAGAATTCTCCAAGCCCATGCATCTTTTCCCTTATGGGCCACTACTCCTCATGCCTACATTATTCCATTCTGAGAGGCCCTGGCAGGTTTATTTTACCTCTTTTCCACCCATGTTCAAGACATAAGGCCTCTTTCCTCTCTTTCACCCTTCTTTGAAGTGAGGCTTAGACCAGTGCTACATCACAGATGGTGACCACAAGCAAGAAAGTAGACTTCTGAACTGAAACTGCTTCAATTTTGTGCTGCTCTGGAAGGGTTGTTACAACAGTAAATTTGTCTTCCACCAAGTTTTGCATACAGGATGTTAAAATGAGACTCTCCTACTTAAGAATTTTCACTATACCCCAAAGGTGAATACAGCTGGTGTCAAATAAGGACTTTTTAAAACAAGATGCTACATCTTTTTTTCTGGAGTTAAGTAGAACATGAGAAAAACTTCATTTCAGTTAAATCACGTCTCATTAACTTTCATCAGTTTAGGAGATTATTTTAATAATTCTTCCTTTGCCAATATTATACTTTTGTGAATGAGACTCACAGAATATATTTTTAAGAGATACTTTTTTTCTAGTAATAATTTCCTACCATAGAAGATGGGAGAAAAACTCCAAATGTGTTTTCTTTTGATAATGATAATAGTAAGTTATGAATAATAAAATAATATTAAAAATAAGTTCATAAACATTAAAACATGAAAACAATAACAAAATAGCAATAATAAAGTACTAATTTAGATTAAAAGAGCTAACTAGTCTTATATTATTCATCTCTGAGGTCACTCTTGTTCAGTTGCTTAGTTGTGTCCAACTCTTTGTGACCCCGTGGACTGCAGCACACCATACTTCCCTGTCCTTCACTATCTCCTGGAGTTTGCTCAAACTCATGTCCATTGAGTCAGTGAAGCCATCTAGCCATCTCATCTGTCACCTGCTACTCCTCCTACCTTCAATTCTTCCCAGCATCAGGGTCTTTTCCAATGAGTTGGCTCTTTGCGTCAGGTGTCCAAAGTATCAGATTTTCAACTTCAGTCCTTCCAATGAATATTCAGGATTGATTCCCTTTAGGTTTGACTGGCTTGATCTCTTTGCTGTCCATGAGACTCTTGAGAGTCTTCTCCAGCTCCACAGTTTAAAAGCACCAATTCTTTGGCTCTCAGCCTTCTTTATGGTCCAACTCTCACATCCACTCTTGATTACTAGAAAAATGATAGCTTTGATTATACAGACCTTTGTCGGCAAAGTGACATCTCTGCTTTAATATGCTGTCTAGTTTGGTCATAGCTTTTCTTCCAAGGAGAAAGCGTCTTTTAATTTAGTGGCTACAGTTACCATCCACAGTGATTTTGGAGCCCAAGAAAATAGAATCTGCTACTGTTTCCACTTTCGCCCTACCTATTTGCCAGGAAGTGATGGGACCACATGTCATGATCTTAGTTTTATGAATGTTGAGTTTTAAGCCAGCTTTTTCACTCTCCTCTTTCACCCTTATCAAAAGTTCCTCTTTGCTTTCTGCCATTAAAGTGGTATCATCTGCATAACTGAGGTTTTGATATTTCTCCCAGCAATCTTGATTCCAGCTTGTGATCCATCCAACCCAGCATTTTGCATGATGACTCTAAGGTCTTATTTTTGTTTTATAGGCTTGTGGAACAGAATAAGAAACAAAAACCAGATAGAATAAGCCAGTGAGCTAGTGAGAGAGAGAAAGAAAGAGAAGACCGTCTGCTTTAATGTAGTTTGTGAGGAAGGACTCTTTCTTTGGACTTGGGTGGATGCCCAACACTCTGTCGGTTTCTGTGTCTCAGTAAGCACAAAAGTGCTTACTGTAAGGAGTAAGTAAGTACAGTTGAATCTTAACCCAGTTAAGATTCAACTCAAGAAACTGCTAAATTTAATTATGGAATTAAAAAAAATCTGTCTGTGATATTGGTGCATATGACAGAATTTTCAGCTATAAGCATTGTATGGTTCTCTTTCATGAGATGGACTCATGGAAACCCAGGTAGAGATTATATTTTTCTAGCTGCTTTTGCATCCAGGTGTGGACATGTGCACTGAGGATGTGGAAGGGTGGGTGAATAGAAGTATATGTACCTTACTTATGGGTCTGCTCCAGAGAACTCAGTCAGTCACTCCTATTCATCTTATTGTCGGGGTATCAGATAATGTGACAGGAGTCAATCTTTGACTTTGCTGATGTATACAAGGTCTTAGTGGGTACTTAACAACAGAATTGGAGGAATCTGAATCTCTGAATGACTTTTGGGAACCTAGAGTGGTGAGATCATAAAATGTCTTTTAAGCTGTAGCACCACCTCCCTAAACCATCTCTATCTCCAGTATCCTCACTTTATTCTCTCTTCCTGCTATCAGCATGAGGAAGCTCAAACATGGCTCTGAGCATGCCTAGTAATCTTCAAAGTCTCTACCTGCTTGTGGAATATAGTCCATGAGCCAGGTCTTTCAACTTCATTCTCAGTGAGCCTATTTCACTGGCTATGTGGACCTGGCTGATTCCTAGCATTTAGTCCCTAAATACTAGTCCCATTTGCTTCATTTGCTTTAATACATATTTCCTCTAGCTACCCTTTTTGAAAGCTGAATCATCCTTTAAGATCCAAAAGAAATTATACCTCCTCAGTGAAGCTATCTATAAACTTCCAGATATAATTAACTGTTGCTTTTTTAGAAAATAAGTGCCTTATTTGTAACATCATTTTTAACGCCCAGTCATTTGTTTTATTTTGTAAAGTTTTAGATTGGATATGAGAAACTTTCTCTCTTCATATTTAAATATGCAATAGCAATAGCTTCACATTTGTATTGCATGGACCAGTAAAATGCACTACCAAGTGTTGCAGGAAAAGATAACATTGTCTAATTAAAAAAATCCAAAGAAAGATAATTTATAAAAATTTTTGATACTAAAATTCAAATATGAGGGGAAGAAACTTAATAGAATATCAAACCATAAAACCAAGAGAAAATATTTGTGGCATCTGTCAGCTTTCAAAATTTTGTTTATGGATATGATTTCTTTGCTCATTTGAATAATTATTCACTTTTAACTTATACCTTTATATTATTTTACTTTAAGCAAACACTCAAAATATATAAACTCCAGACCTCTATAATCCTCCATATATCCATCCCCCCCCCCCAAAAAAAATAAATGGAAGAACAGGCTACAAAACAATAGCAATTATTTCTGGACTTTAAAAATAGTAGTTTCAAACATACACATTGTTAATGAAAAAGTACTTACATTAATAATAACCAGAGCACTTTTAAAAGAGAGAAATGAAAAGAGATTCAAATAATTAAATTAAAATCCCCAAATCTTCTACCACCTCTCCCCAAAGTACCCTGGGAGACAAGTTGTTGAACTATTTCAGCATACTGTTAACTTTGCTCACATTTATCCCTGCTGTTCTACCTTCACTGTGGGGTCAAGAAAACTTGACCTAAGCCAACTGTGTTGGACGGGAATGCTGGGTTTTGCCTGAATTTCTTTCGATTTCACTTCTCCTCTACAGGATGACTATTAAAAACAAAAACAAAAGAAAACAAAACAAAACAAAACAAAAACTTGCTGGACTTCAGCTTCTAAAGATGAGTACTTCTCCAGGGGGAGCCAGACACCAGAGGAGTTTGAGAGGTGAGCCAGGGGAGCTGAGAATTTTCCCCAGGCTGCAGTATCTGCACACACCAGGTAAGTTTACTCCTAAACTTTGTGTTCCAAGCACATTTCTATTAACTTAACAATAACCCCCCCCCACCCAGCGCTGACCCCACACAGTGAGCGGGAAGTCTGTGGGCTGTAATGCAAGGCACAAGGGTGTACAGTGGGTGAGGAGCCCTGTGGGGCAGCTCATGTCCCTGGTGTGGGCTGCTGTTCCTCGAGCACCTCCACAGGTTATAGCAAAAACCCCTGCATGGGAAAAGGGGAAGCATAGCCTACCTCATCTGCAGAAAGGGAGCTGGCTTCCTTTAGAGGACTAAGGGAATAAACCTCCACCCCATTGGAGAGGCTGTGGCAGAAACTGCTTCCTACTGTCTCCTTCTCCCCTCCCCCAACAGGTTCTGACTCATGTCTCCGGGCATATGGCCAGAAAATATGGTCCTTGACATACAATTTAAATATTTTAAAAATTGTCTTGTGTTAACCATATCTAATATTCTAAAGGCTCTACAAAGCTGTATTTATTTGAAATAATTCATTCTCACTCTCTGTAATCAACTGTCTATAAGGTCTAAGTCTGTTTTTTATCCTGCATTATTTTCAAATGTGTGGTCCCTATTAAAAAAGACATAACTTACTGTTATTTTTAAGTTTGGTTTTTCTGCTCTGTTTTCCTTGTGAGAGTGAAAAAAAAAATTCCTTAGTTTGCTTTCAATTTCCATAAAATAACAACAGAAAAATGGGAGGGGGAAAGAGTACAAAGATGAGTGAGAAACAACTGGGAGGCTTTTCTAGTACTCACTGATCTGATGAGCTGTGGAGCAGAGATGCTAATCTGTCAACTGTTTTACACATGCACATTAGTCTTGAAATGAGATATCTCAATTTCTGATTCAAAATAGTAAAGTATGTGAGGAATGGAGACAAGAGGGAGAATGTAGCCTGATGATCTTGACTTCAAGGTTCAGATGCTAGCTTTAGTTTTGGGAAAGCTCAGCTTTTCCATTTGAACCAATGGTAGCTGGGAGGTGACAGTCTACATCCTGTCATATAACCAAGACAGCAGCAGATGGAGTGGAGAGAACCCTGCCTGGAGAGATGAGAAATTAAGATCTTCTCTTAGTTATTTGCGGCGAGGGTAGGAGCAGGAGGCATTTTCTCCATCCATGACCTCAAGTTTCCTCACTTGCATATGCATTAAGAGAGACTCATTATTGGTTCTCAACCAGGGCTCCACACTAGATTCACTGCCCACATTTTTTTTTTTTTTTGAGTGAAAATCATACTTGATTCAGGCAGTTCTGGTTGCCTTTATTTATTGAATAAGGAAAAAATGAGACCTCAAAACAAATGGGCAGCCTAAACATGGCAGCCACAATTTTACCCCCATTCACACCTCAAAAGTTGGGAAAAAACCATGTTGTCTCCTGGCTTTGGCTATAAGTCATTGCTCTGGCCCAAGCTTGCCTCTGACACCCCAGGGAGAAGCTTCTTTCTGGGTAAAGTTTGAAAATGGTGAAGGACCAACTCAGCATTCCTGGAAAATAAGTAGTTCTTTCTTCTTCCTTAATGAAGTCTTGTGGTAGACATGTCTAAGTTATGCAGATCCAACTGAGGGTAGAGTTTGATCCTGAATCCTTTCTCATGGATATTGTTGAACAGATACATAGAAAGTATAGAAATTGATCTTACTAGTTTTCATTAACTTTTTAATTAAGATACAATTTTCATTGGCATATATTATATATCCTTTTCTTGATGTTGATGCACATTTTTATTTAAAAGAAACAAAAACCAAAATCAATTCTCAATGTCCCTGCACAGAGGATGATTCTTAAACTTTGTTGCCGAAAGAATTTTGATGACTTCTAAAGGAGAGAGAAGACAATGGCAACCCACTCCGGTACTCTTGCCTGGAAAATCCCATGGACAGAGGAGCCTGGTAGGCTGCAGTCCATGGGGTCGCTGAGAGCTGGATATGGCTGAGCAACTTCACTCTCACTTTTCACTTTCCTGCATTGGAGAAGGAAATGGCAACCCACTCCAGTGTTCTTGCCTGGAGAATCCCAGGGACAGGGGAGCCCCCCGGGCTGCCGTCTGTGGGGTCGCACAGAGTCGGACATGACTGAAGTGACTTAGCAGCAGCAAAGAAGGAGAAGAACCAAATTCTGTTTCCTTTTTTCTAACTTTAGACTGTTTCAGTCCCTTAAATAGCATAAATGGTTCTATAGATACTGCATTTCATTGAACTATCATATGTCAAACCAGAATTGTCTGTTTTAAAACTCAGATTTTGAGGAATGCTTGCTATCCTCATCACTAGTTCTAAAACTAATCAACAAATGAGACCAAGAGACAAAAGATGTATGAAACCTCTGCCTTAACATTTTCTGTTAGGATGACCTAGTCCCAGATCATCCCTCAGCCTTGGCTTCACTGATTAATTTTCTCTTAGCACGTGCCTTAGGTCTGGGGAGAAGATGGTCAATGAGGTGATGAATTTGCTTCTCAGTAATGATGACCTAACAGAAGCAGAAGATATTAAGAAGAATACACAGAAGAACTGTACAAAATAGATCTTCATGACCCAGATAATCACAATGGTGTGATCATTCACCTAGAGCCAGACATCCTGGAATGTGAAGTGAAGCGGGCCTTAGAAAGCATCACTACAAACAAAGCTAGTGGAGGTGATGGAATTCCAGTTGAGCTATTTCAAATCCTGAAAGATGATGCTGTGAAAGTGCTGCACTCAATATGCCAGCAAATTTGGAAAACTCAGCAGTGGCCACAGGACTGGAAAAGGTCAGTTTTCATTCCAATCCCAAAGAAAGGCAATGCCAAAGAATGCTCAAACTACCGCACAATTGCACTCATCTCACACGCTAGTAAAGTAATGCTCAAAATTCTCCAAGCCAGGCTTCAGCAATACGTGAACCGTGAACTTCCAGATGTTCAAGCTGGTTTTAGAAAAGGCAGAGGAACCAGAGATCAAATTGCCAACATCCGCTGGATCATCGAAAAAGCAAGAGAGTTCCAGAAAAACATCTATTTCTGCTTTATTGACTATGCCAAAGCCTTTGACTGTGTGGATCACAATAAACTGTGGAAAATTCTGAAAGAGATGGGAATACCAGACCACCTGACCTGCCTCTTGAGAAATCTGTATGCAGGTCAGGAAGCAACAGTTAGAACTGCACATGGAACAACAGATTGGTTCCAAATACAAAAAGGAGTACGTCAACGCTGTATATTGTCACCCTGCTTATTTAACTTCTATGCAGAGTACAGCATGAGAAATACTGGGGGATGAAGCACAAGCTGGAATCAAGATTGCCAGGAGAAATACCAATAACCTCAATATGCAGATGACACCACCACCCTTATGGAAGAAAGTGAAGAAGAACTAAAGAGCCTCTTGATGGAAGTGAAAGAGGAGAGTGAAAAAATTAGCTTAAAGCTCAACATTCAGAAAACTGAATCATGGCATCTGGTCCCATCACCTCATGGGAAATAGATGGGGAAACAGTGGAAACAGTGGCTGACTTTATTTTTCTGGGCCCCAAAATCACTGCAGATGGTGATTGCAGCCATAAAATTAAAAGACGCTTACTCCTTGGAAGAAACGTTATGACCAACCTAGACAGCATATTAAAAAGCAGAGACATTACTTTGTCAACAAAGGTCCATCTAGTCAAGGCTATGGTTTTTCCAGTGGTCAAGTATAGATGTGAGAGTTGGACTATAAAGAAAGCTGATCGCCGAGGAATTGATGCTTTTGAACTGTGGTGTTGGAGAAGACTCTTGAGAGTCCCTTGAACTGCAAGGAGATCCAACCAGTCCATTCTAAAGGAGATCAGCCCTGGGTGTTCACTGGAAGGACTCATGTTGATGCTGAAACTCCAATACTTTGGCCACCTCATGCGAGGAGCTGACTCATTTGAAAAGATCCTGATTCTAGGAAAGATTGAGGGCAGGAGGAGAAGGGGGTGACAGTGTATGAGATGGTTGGATGGCATCACCGACTCAATGGACATGGGTTTGGGTGGACTCTGGGGGTTGGTGATAGACAGGGAGGCCTGGGGTGCTGCGGTTCATGGGGTCACAAAGAATCGTACACGATAGAGTGCCTGAACTGAACTGAATGATGACCGCTCTTCCTCTCCCTTCCTCCCACCTCCTCAGCTTTAGTAGAGTTGCTTTATTTCATCACAGGATGTGGCTGCCCTGTGCCAATGAAAACATCCAATCTGAGATCCTCACAGCATTGGGGGTACTTTAGCCATTGTAGATATTCATTTTAAGTGAGGAACAAAAAATAGATGAATTTTTCTTTGTAGAACTTACCCTATGCACACTGTGTGAAGAACATAGCTAGAAAGAATGACTAAACTCAGAGACTGCTAAAGAGCATCCTAGATCTGAAGACTATTTGCACATAGGCACCCGGTAATGATTATGTCTGTTAGTATTGGATTGGTGGTTAGGGACACCCCATAAAGAACTGCTGTGTTTCCTTTTGGTAGCTCATTTTTAAATTTTGTTTGTTTCTTTTCTCCCAGTTTCCTTGAAATATAATTAAGGAATAGAGTTTCCACCAGGACCAGAATGTAGGCTGTTGAGTGGGTTGGCCTCAAAAACTGTCAAGGCCTTGATGGATGTTTAAAGGGAAAGGGTCAAGTATTTATGGTTACCAAGGTTTGTTTTAGTGAAGATTTTCTTTTTTTGTCAGTCTTTTGTTTGGACATCAGGCATGTCTCTAGTCCTGTGATAGTCAGGGATAATGTCAGCATTAAGAGCTTGGAATAACTCACATATTCTCAGGGGCCTTCTATGTACATTTTCTTCATGGCAGAAGCACCAGTGGAATAAATAAAGATCTCATATGGCCAAATATAAAAGCTAGTATTACAATAACAACATTTTATAGCTCTACATTTTGCTTTCAACTATATTTGAGATTAATTCATTAAAAAAATTAGCCAAAAAGCTAGTATTATTTTAGTTTTGATACATAATCCAGATTTTCT